AATAAATGGCCCATCTGTTCTAAAAGTCTGACAATAAAATAGCCTTTCATGGTGGGCTTATATGTGTGTACTTCTCATGATCAAACAGAAGTCATTTAAATCATTTTTCATCTTGGCAGTGTCAACTGCAGATGATATGAAGAAATACATTATTAAAACAAAATTCTTCCAAGGTACTTCATTCAATTATACTTTTAGGTAATAATAATCAATGTTTGCACAGCGCTTCATAGTTTACAAAGTATTTTCACATATCTTTTCTCATATGATCCATAAATGTAGCCTATGAGTTAGGTATCATTTCTGTTATCATTTTTTTTTATGTGGGAAAACAAAGCTATATGAAAGCAAAGTGACTCACTTAATGTCACTCAAATAATAACAATGGGGTTGTGATATAGCCAATTATCTGATTTCTACCTTTCTATCATTTTTTCATTGTACCATATAATCATACTCTGAGGCACAGAGGCTTGAGTAATTGTAAATCTATGATCATAAATATGATCATTTTAAAAAACAATTTTAGAAATATTTTTCACTTATATGAGTATGTACAGCAAAAAACATTTTGTGGCATTTAATTTGTAATCTCTACTAACCAACTACTAACTATAATCCCATAGTGCCTTTGGAACTTTCAAAGACTGATAAAACATATTTTTCTGGGAAGTGATAGAACAAGTGATCAACAAAATGGTTGATAGAGACTTCTTAAAGCAATCTTAAAACTTCCCCTATAATTACTGGAAATTTTACCAACTTGAAAGTTTTAACATAGTCAAATGCATACACAACTTAAATTAATATAATTTAATAAAATGGAATACACATTAGGTATCCCTTAAATTTTTAAGAATCATTTTAGAAGTAAGGATATCATCCCTAAAACTAATAAGCATTAGTCAATATTCTGTTATTTTTAAATTCTTAGAAAATAACAGGACTAAAGAAACCCTGACTTGAGAACTAGGAGACCTCACCTGAATCTGGCTGGGTGTCCTTGGTGAAGTCATTTAAGAGTTTTAGGTTAGATTAATGGTTTTTAACTGGGAATGTATATGAAATGACTGAAGAGATTTTTTTTTCAAAATAAATCTGCTTGAACCTTCTCCCTGGTTATTCTGAGGTGCTCATGGGATGGGTGATGGGACAGAGGCTGGAGCATTACATGGGATTAGATAGATATGGCATGTGCATTTGAAAATAATAGTTGACGGGTGAGTGTGGCAATATAGGTGAAATAAGAGTTAACATTTTTAAAATTGTGTGATAGGTATAAGGAGGTTCATTTACCATTCTCTCTACTTTTGTAGAAAAAAATGCTTTCCAGGTCATTCTAACACACCTTTAGTAGAGCAGTGCTTCTTAAGCTTCAATGTCTCAAACAAGTCACCTTAAATGCATGTTCTGATTTAGTACGATGGGATGACCTGAGTGTCTGAAGCTCTAACAAATTCTCAGGTGATGCTGATATTGTTGGTCTATGGACCACATTTGAGAAGCAAGAAAACATGGAACCAGATAATTACTAACTAAGCAGGTTGTAGGATAGTTTCTCGGTCATTATTTGGCAAGAAAAAATATAATTTTTACTAATATGCAAAATGGATAAGAAGAATATTCATTACCATGGTTAAAATTACTATTCAGTCAGTTGAGTTCATCTGTGAAAAAAATGTCTAGAAGATTATGATGTAAGCCAAGACTTAAGACAATTTAAATAATATCTAATATTCAACAGATCTAATGTTTACATATGAAGAGGAGCTTTGTACCAGGACTGTTCTGTCATGTTTCTGCCCAGAGGTTGTCATGATAAAGTTTATTATCAATTACTGCTTTACAAGTATAAAATAAGTTAAGCTGTCATATTTTTCTCAAACAGAGATCCTAGCCTGTCAAAAAATGTCAATTTTTAATTCTGACATAGAGGAGAAAATTATCTGTTATTCTGACCTCTAATTTCTTGACATTTTAATGCCATAATTGCTGTGGTTAGTGCTGCTTCATGATTTCACCTGTCAAGGAAGAATGAATCAATAACCTTAAGCCATTTCTCAAATTTTAGCACTAACTTCAAAGCTTAAAATGTGTGATTTTTTTTTACAAAAGGTACAGTCATATATTAAATATTTTTCTTTTGAATCAGTGTTTAATTTAAGCATTTAAAAAAATCATCTTCCTTAGGCCTGTTGGAGTTTAGTATAAGATAACTGTAATTTTGGCTTTATTGGTTTTATTTATGTGCAATGTCATGATCTTAGTATTTTAAAAGATACTGAGATAAATATTATCAAATAAAGGGGAATCATTCAGTTCAATAAAGGGCTGACATTTTAAACGCTGCTTTTTCCAAGCTCGACCAGATAGGTGAGTAGCAACTTTCTCAAGTCCCAGCACCACAGTGCAGACCTCCAGGAATTCCACATTGATGTGGAAAAAGGTGTGGTGCCTCCCAGGGCCCTCCCCACAGGTGAGTGTATGTGTAAGGGGGCACAGACGACCAGCAAATGATGACTTGGTGATACTTCATTCTGCTTCTCTACTCGGTTCTTTCTTCTGACAGTAGATGCTAAGTGCCTTTATGTTGGCAAATGTATGTTCTGTGTCATTCCTCACTTTAGAGAGAGCAACTGAGGCAGAGCGAGAATCATCTTGTGGCCACATACCATATCGCACAGGATTCAGCTGGGTCCTCCTCTGTTGCAGGTTCTCAAACAGTGCAGGGCTTTTGCTGTGGGAATGGGAGGTTCGTGGAGGAGGAGAAAAGGGTGGGGAGTTGGAGACGGAAAATGAACCGATACCCCTTAAGATCATTTAGTCTGTTGACACAGATATAATCTGTTGAGTTGACACAGGTCCACAGGGTCAGGGCAGATGTCTCCGCTGGTGTGTGCTTGGGTCTATGCTGGCTGGGGGTAGGGAGGTAGGAGTGTGCTTCCTCACTTGGTATTCTGAGAAATAAGAGTTATGTGGTCTGGGCGGCAGGCATGGGAGGGAGGACCCATGTAATCATGGAATGGTTCTCGGAGTGTCTCTAATGGAGCCTCCGTATTCACAGTGATGTGCTTAGAAGGAGGATGTTGGAAGGAGAGCCCTGAACTGAAGCACCCTGGCCTGCATCACGAGGTCAATCAGGGGGAGTAGAGAACAGATTGTCCAGATTGTCCAGACAATAAGCAAACCCCGTGGCTAAACCACACCCGCCCAACAACAACAATTTTTAAAATTACACCTTTTCATGTAATGTCTCATTAAGAAGTCCTACAGTTTGACAATTAAGACGTATATGTCTTAATTTTTTCCACTGTCCAAAGCAATGGTGTGATATTTTGTAGAAGCAGGTATTTTTATAGGATTCAAATAATAAACACTATATCCATGTAAAGAAAGGCTCAATTCTGAGTCTATTTTCTTTTTATTCTCTCATTAATCTCTTTTTTGCTCTCATTTAAATATAAAAATGTGCTATTTTTATGTCAATTTTAATGCTACCTTGCACTTTCTTAAAATGTGCAATATGCTTAAAATATCTTTATTTTGCCCAAGATTAAGTTTTATCTTTCTTTATAAGAACAGAATGTTATAACGGACAAAAATGTGTAATAAAATATTCAAGAGCAAAAATGTCTAGGATATTAAAAGTCAAAAAACAATTTGGTGTTGGTTTTGGAATAAAAGAATAAGTTATTCCAATAGTTTTCTTTTTTTATGACTGTGAAGGTATTGGATCTATAAGGAGAATATAGTTTGTAAGGTGCTTAAAGTACTGGGCATGTGTCAGTTAAACAAAGGTGTATTGTTAACAGAATAAGTAAGCTTAGAATTGTCTACTCAAAATAATCTGATTATAGTTTGTATACAACTGGGGATACTAAATTAGGTGAGTGTAATGGTTTGTAGAGAAAATCCATTATTTTTCCAACTAATTTCATATCTGGCTTCTCTCTCATTCATTTACTCTCTATCGCTTTCTCCAAGCTTTAGGCAATAATTCCATTTCCTTGTGCAGACAATATGGTGTAATATTGCACTGAATACCAAGCTGCCAATGTGTTTTCTGAATAGTAGCCCTAAGGGTCCAATCATCAATGATCACGAGACTCTGCCTTTCCTCTTCTATGCTTGAAGCCATACAAATGAAGTTATTTTATTTTTATAGAGGTACAAAAGAAATAACTTTATGGATGCAAATTTTTCTTGTAGAGCTTTGTTTTCCAAATCTACAAGTTTCCCACCTCTAAAAAAAAAATAATCTTTTTTTCTTAAAGGCATTACACTGACTGGAAATGTAGAAATGATTGCTTATTTTGCATAGAGCAGATGGCAGATATCTGATAGACCGGAAGCCTGGAATGGGGATTCTTTGAAGCAACACTTACGCAGCAGCTGTTGCGTGTTCACTCTTTTCACCTATCTGAAATCATTTTGTGCAATGTGGAAGTGATTTAAATAATATTTTATCTGAATATTTTCACTAAAAATATTTATATACATACTATAACATATAATTCCCAACTGTTAGCTATAAAATTTCAGGGTGAGAACATATGGGAAGAAAACACCATAACCTCATCTATTTTATTGATGCATTTTTCTGAGTATTCTGTTTAGAAGTTTGTAATTTTGCTTTTATTAAAAGAAACACACACTGGCAGATTATTTTTATGTGAACTATTCATATTTAAATATTCAACTAGGTTTCATTAATAACACATAGGTATTAAGCATTTTAATGAAGATGCTGAAGTAAAACAAAATAGGGATACTGAAGTGCATTATATGTCTGCAATTCAGAAGGAACAATATACTCGTATGCTGGTCTCATTACTTGGTTTTGACATATAACATTTGTTTTCCACATTTGCCAAGAATTGAAATCTATAGTTTGTAAAAATTTACATTGAAAGGAAATTTGTATAGAAAGAGATGGAAAGTCAAATTTGTATTTGAGGGATGACAGAAATTCATGGGAGAATATGAGAGTGAACACCTACCTCCCTTAGCACAGGGTCAGAGATGCTCTCCAGGTTCACAGAGCCTTCATAGGTTAAGTAGTGAAAAACGTTCAGAGCACGGACTGCTTCTGGGCCTCTCTGTTTGTAGCCAAATATAAGGTCAATCCACTGATGGAGTTGACAAGAAACAAATTCACTTTCCAGGGCCTGAAATGAGTCAAGACAAAAAAAACCCCAAAAACAAAATGAGAGTCTGTACACAGTTAGCAAAGCTCCCTGTCTTTTTCTTACTTTGAAATAGTCTGCATAAATGAGTAGAATGTGCTCTTTACATTCCTATATGTTATAGTATTAGCTCTTCTACTCCAAGAAATGGCAAAATTCAACCTCTAATAAAACACAGACCTAAATGAAAATTTTCTCTTTCTTAAATGCTTAACTCTCTCTTCGCTCCATTACATATATGATATGGATTTTAACAGTAAATAGATGTCTTACAAAGACACATTCATGTTTAAAAGAAAAATAAATTGAAACGCCTGTTTTAATGCCATTTTATAATTTCACACCTAATTTTTAAACATTAAACTAAACAAGTTTATTAGAAACTTTGATATAGACTTACTTTCCTGCCTAATATTCTTTAAATTTACCCCTAACTCTACCAAAAGGAAATGCCTTCCTTCTGCTACAAATTAACTCTGCTGTTATACAGTTTTGGAATCACTGGGCAATTTTAGATGTTTGCTAGCTGGTGGAAGATGAACGTAAATTACTGAGAGTCAATGACCATGCTAAGCTGCCATTAAGAGTCAGAAAAAACGATGGCCTTTTCATTTCCTAAGAAGCCATTATAAGCTTCACAGAGGTGCTGTGACATGTAGGCATGGAGTTTGGTTCATACCCGTGATATGAGCTGCGACAATCACTGCATGGCTCACTGTGCTTCTCACTTACTGCAATCATTTATTATCAACTTCATATTGATTTAAGAGCACACTGATTTCAGGAACATAAACAAAAGGCTGTAGAGCTAGCTTCTTAAATTTCAACTATGCGTAGCCACATAAAACAATTTTCTAAATTTCAGCTGTAACTAAATACATGAATGAAGTCATTCTCTGGACGCATGTCCTAGATTTCTAAGATCTTAAAACCAGTTTGAAATTCACTTAATGAATAATTACTTAAATTAGGTCTCTGATAATTACATTTCATTTCTTTAATCTATAAAATATCTGTATGGTACTTTTCAACTTTTCCTGTGCTCAGATTTAAATAGTGATTTATTAACTTCAATCGCTTTCTTGATTTATTCCTTTCAAAATTTTTGGTATTTTCCATCACCACCGCAATCACCATTACTGCTATATGCATAACACTATTAACCATTCACTAGAGTTTTCATATACTTCTCATCTGTCTACTGCATTATTTACCTATCTTTTTAAAAAATTTTTATTTTAGTTTGTTATTCCAATTCCCCTACCCCTCTCCCCTCTGGCAGCCATCAGCTTGTTCTCTACATTTACGGGTCTGTTTTTGTTTTGTATTGTTTATTTTTATTATTTTTTCTTTAGATTCCACATACAAGTGAAATTATATGGTATTTGTCTTTCTCTGTCTGACTTATTTCACTTAGCATACTGTCTAATTCCATCCATGTTGCTGCAAATGGCAAAATGTCATTCTTTTTATTGCTGAATAATATTCCATTCTATTTAAATACTACATCTTTATCCATTCATATATTGATGGAGATCTACGTTGCTTCCATATCTTGGCTGTTGTAAATCACACTGCAGTGAACATAAGGGTGCATATATCTTTTTGAATAATTGTCTTTGTTTCTTTGGATAAATACCCAAAAGTGAAATTACTGGGTAACATGGTAGTTCTACTTTAAATTTTTTGAGGAATCTTCATACTGTTTTCCATAGTGGCTGCACCAATATGCAATCCCAAAAACAGTGCACGAAGGTTCCCTTTTCTCCACATCCTTGCCAACACTTGTTATTTGTTGATTTATTGATGATATCCATCCTAACAAGTATGAGGTAGTATCTCATTGTGACATTAATTTGCATTTCTCTGATGATTAATGATATTGAGCATTTTTTCATATGTCTATTGGCCTTTTTAGAGAAATGTCTATTCACATCCTCTGCCCGTTTTTAAAAACTTGGATTGTTTTTTGTGGTGTTAAGTTGCCTGACTTCCATGTATATTTTGGATAGTAACCCCTTATTGGATGTATCATTGTGAATATCTTCTCCAAGTTAGTAGGTTATCTTCTTGTTTCGCTGTGCAAAACATTTTAGTTTGACGTAGTTCCATTTGCTTATTTTTTCTTTTGTTGTCCTTGCCTGAGGAGATATATCCAAAAAGATATTGCTAATACTGATATCAGAGAGTTTACTGCCTATGTTTTCTTCTGAGTTTTATGGTTTCAGGTTTTACATTTAAGTCTTTAAGTCATTTTGAGTTTATTTTTATATATGGTGTAAGAAAGTGGTGTGATTTCATGTCTTTGCATGTATTTGTCCAGTTTTCCCAACACCATTTACTGAAGAGATTGTCTTTATCTGATTGTATATCCTTTCCTCCTTTGTTGTAGAATGACCATGTAAGCAAGTATTTCTGGGTGCTGTACTCTATTCCATTGATCTGTATACCGATTTCTATGCCAGCAGTATACTGTTTTGATTATTGTAGCTTTGCAGCATAGTTTGATGTCAGGGAGCATGATACCTCCTACTTTGCTCTTTCTCAATTTTTCTTTTGTTGTTGTTGTTATGCAGTGTCTTTTGTGGTTCCATATGCATTTTAGGATTAGCTGTTCTGAAAAGCATGCCATTGGTATTTTAATATAGATTGCACTGAATCTGTACATTGCTGTAGGAAGTAAGGACATTTTAAGAATAGTAATCCTTTAACTACATGGGCAAGGTATATGCTTCCATTTATTTTAATCTTCTATTTCTTTCTTGAGTGTCATAGTTTCAGAATATAGTCTTCACCTCTTTGGTTAAATTTATTCCTAGGTATTTTATGTTTTTTGATGCAATTGTAAATGGGATTGTTTTCTTAATTTCTCCTTCTGACCATTGATTATCGGTGTACACAAACACAACAGATTTCTATATATTGATTCTGTAGCCTGCAATGTAACTGAATTCATTTATTAATTCTAACAGTTTTTTGTTGGAGTCTTTAGGGTTTTCTATATATAGTATCATGTCATCAGCAAATAATGAAAGTTTTACTTCTTCCTTTCTGATTCGGATGGTTTTTATATTTCTTTTTCTTGTTTGAGTGCTGTGGCTAGGACTTCCAATACTATGTTGAATAGAAGTGGTGACAGTAGGAATCCTTGTCTGATTCCTAGTCTTAGAAGAAAAGTTTTAAGCGTTTCACTATTGAGTATGATATTTGCTGTGGGTTTGTCATATATGGCCTTTATTATTTGAGATATATTCTTTCTATACCCACTTTGTTGAGAAATTTTATGATTAAAAAATGTTGAATTTTGTTTAATGCCTTTTCTGAATCTATTGAGATGATCATATGGTTTTTATCTTTTATTTTGTTAATGTGATGTATCATGTTGATTGATTTACAGATGGTGAACCATCTTTGCATCCCTGGGATGAATCCCATTTGGTCATGGTATATAATCCTTTTAATGTATTGTTGAATCCAGTTTGCTAGTATTTTGTTGAGAATTTTTGTATCTATGTTCATCAAGGATTTTGGCCTGTAATTTTCTTTTTTCTGTAATGTCTTTGTTTTTTTATATCAGAATAATGCTGGCTTCACAGAATGAGTTTGAAAGCACTCCTTTCTCTTCAATTTTTGAAATAGTTTAAGAAGGACATGTGTTAATTCTTCTTTGCATGTTTGGTAGAATTCACCTGTGAAGCCATCTGGTCCTGGATTTTTATTTGTTGAGTTTTTTTTTTTATTGCTTTGATTTCATTGCTAGTATTGGTCTGTTTAGATTTTTTATTTCTTCCTGGTCCACTCTTGGAAGGTTATATTCTTCCAGAAATTTATTCAATTATTCTAGATTGTCAACTTTGTTGGCATATGACTGTTCATGGTATTCTTTAATGATTCTTTGTATTTCTGTGGTGTTAGTGGTAACCTCTCCTCTTTCATTTATGATTTTATTTATTTGGACTCTCCCTCTTTTTTTCTTAATGAGTTTGGCTAAAGGTTTGTCAATTTTGTTTATCATTGCAAAAAAACTAGCTCTTAATTTCTATTTCATTTATTTTGCTCTGATGTTAACTATTTCCTTCCTTCTGTTTACTTTGGGTTTTGTTTGTTCTTCTTTTTCTAGTTCCTGTAGTTGTAGAGTTAGTTTGTTTTCTTGTTTCTTGAGGTGGGCCTGCATAGCTATGAACTTCTTGTTAGAACTGCTTTTGCTGCATCCCATAAATTTTATCATGTTGTGTTTTCATTTTTATTTGTTTCAAGATAGCCTTTGATTTCTTGTTTGATTTCCTCTTTAATCATCAGTTGATTAGTATCATATTGTTTAGTTTCCACATATTTGTGTTTTTTCCAGGTTTTTTTTTTTTACCTGTAGTTGATTTCTAGTTTCATGCAATTGTCACCAGAAAGGATGCTTTATATGATTTCAATCTTCTTGAATTTATTGAGACTTGTTTTGTGGCCTAATATGTGATCTATCCTGGAGAATGTTCCAGGTACACTTGAAAAAAATGCGTACTCTGCAGTTGTTGGATGAAATATTCTATAAATATCTATTAAGTGAATCTGTTATAATGTGACCTTTAAAGCCATTATTTCCTTATTAATTTTCTGTCTAAATGATCTATCCATTGATGTGAACAGGGGTATTAAAATCCCCTACTATTATTGTATTAGTGTGAATTTATCCCTTTATGTTCATGAATAATTGCTTTATATATTCAGGTGCTCTTTATATGTTGGGTGCATAGATATTTAGGACTGTTATATCCTCTTCTTGGATTGACCCCTTTATAATTATGTAATGTCTTTCTTTGTCTTTTTTTAAAGTTTGTCTTAAAGTCTTTTTGTCTAATATGAGTATTGCTACCCAAGCTTTCTTTTCATTTCTATTTGCATGAGATATCTTCTTCCATCCCTTCACTTTTAGTCTCTATGAGTCTTTTTATTTGAAGTGAGTCTCTTGTAAACAGTACCTAGATGGGTCA